TTACGTCAGAGGTTTCGAATTTTCAAAATTCAAAATCACAAGCTTCTTTATAAATTTCACGAATTCGACCAAATTTAGTTGCTCCGATTGCTTTTGAAGTTGAAACATTATTATAGAGGTTTAAAAATTAAAAATATGTCAATTTTACCCCTGTTGATGGGGGAAAACAATTATCAAAAATTATTAAGTTAATGCTACAATAAAACAAATAATTTGGTTCTCTCTACAAAAAAGTTATAATAATAATAATAACAATAATAGTAATGCCTATAAAGTGAAAGTGTTAATTTTTCACACAAAAAAGTGTCAATATCGAAGTGGGGTTTAATTACACATATATTTCAAAAAGGCTTTGTCAATCGTGTCATTTATATTAGCTTAATGGATTGTAAGTTTTGTAAAACACTATATGCCGAAAGAGGGTGAGAGGGAGAGAGACATTGAGAGATGCGATGGATGTTACAACTGAAATATAACTGAAATAAACAATAGAGTATCCTGGATGGAAGCAAAAGGCATTAAGGTGGTTTCTTTGGTAGAGATGGGTTGGGGTACACCAGGGGTACAAGGGGTAAAGGGGGAAGTGTAGAGGCTTGATGAGGCGGGGGTGGTGGTGGTGGTTTGAGAGAGGCGAAGCTTCATTTCTGAGAGCCCGATGGGTGAATCCGCCTTTATCCATCTAGCTGTTGCCAACGTTGTAGCGTCCTCGTTCCATCAACTCTCTTTCTCTCTCTCTCTCTCTCTCTCTCTATATATATATATACCCCCTGCCTGGCACTTCTCTTCACCCAACTCACCCCAATCCACCCTTTATTCTCCCTTTTACCATTTCAGCCCTTAGGAGAGAACCTCGCCCCCATCTCCTCAATTCCAATAAGGCTGCCTCATCCCATTCTGTCGTTTCCACCCTTCGGTTTCCCTCGAGCCTGCATCCTCTACTACTGCCAGGCCAGAGGCTTTTCTCCTTCTAGCACACACACACACATACACACTTTCACAGCTCTCGCAATGTTCCTATCGATTCAAGCCACGGAAACACGTTTTTCCTAGACATCTCAGTAGTGCTTTCTCATAAATTCCGGTATCACGTGATTCCAATTAGTAACATGACTTTTCACTGTTCTTTGTTTTGGTTTGTTTTTTTCATTTTTTTTTCTTGTTATTTTGTTTGTTTGTTTGTTTGTTTGTTCATTATATCCTATGGAAACTTTGTGAAAAAATGAGCCTTGTTTTTTTTTCAAATGGTAAATTTTGTTTTTGTAAATATATTTTTGTATTGCAATTCTTTTTTTTGAATTTTGTTTTATAATGAAAGTGCGGGGTAAAACGGTCATATGAATTAGGTATTGCTCTCTAGGTGGCGAAAGGCAAGGTTGATTTTTATTTTATAGTGTGTTTAAAAGATCATTGAATTAAGGCAAAAATTTGATTTTTGGACGGTTTTACCCCACTAACAGGGGTAAAATGGGCATACCTCAATTTTGAGCTTCTAATACTGCTTTAACTTAATAAGCATTACTATTATTGTTATTACTATTCTTTTTATTATTATTATTATTATTATTATTACTAGAGGGGTTACGCCCCCCTGCGCGCTTCGCTCGCCAACCCCCCTGTTTTAATCATTTTTTTTAAATTTTCCATTGATCTTATTTTTCCAAATGAACCACCTATTTCAAGGAATTATTATTACAAATTCATTGAAATCTGAATAAATATTATTAAAATTAAAATTATTAAATTTTTAATTAATAAATTAATTAAATTAATAATAAATAATTAAATAAATTAAAATCGACATTAAGAAATTGATTTTAAAAATAATTTCAATGAAATTGCCTAAAAACCAATAAATTATTAAAAAGTCTTGAAACGAACATAACCTTTAAATTCAAGTCATTTTTGGCGGGAACTTCACCTCCAATTGCGGCTATATTGAAAGTCTTGAAATTTACATAACCTTAAAATTTATGTCATTTTTGGCGTGAAATACAGAGAGAGATGAGGGAAGGGGGAGGAATTACTGCTTTATTAGGGTCTTAAAACAAACATAACCTCAAAATTTAGGTCATTTTTGTCGGAGAAGGGGAAATGAGAGGAGGGACTTGCGGCTATATTCAGAGCCTTGAAACGAACATAACCTCAAAATTTAGGTCATTTCTGGCGGGGGAGGGGAGGGGACTTGCGGCTATATTCAGAGTCTTGAAACGAACATAACCTTAAAATTTAGGCCATTTTGGCGGAGGAGGGGAAATGAGAGGAGGGAGGGATAACTTGCGGCTATATTCAGAGCCTTGAAACGAACATAACCTCAAAATTTAGAAGGGGGGACTCCCCCCCTCCTAGGTCAAGAATTCTTAAAACAGCGGCGGCGGCGATATCTTTTTGTAATATAGGAAGATAATAACTATTTTTGATTTGCTATTTTGAATTTTGGAAATTCAATACCAAATTCGTAATCAGCAACCTCAAAAAAGCCCTCCAAGTAACAAATTTCAAGCAAATGCGATTAATTTAAAAAAAATCGTCCACCATATTAGATCCGCCATTAAAAATTTAAAAAAAAACCAACACCAATGCAATGGCCAAATAAGAATGACATTTGTCAAAATAAAAATTAGATTTTAAATAAATAAAAATTTTTTAAATTTAATTAATTTAATTAAAATTTTAAATAAACATAAACATAAGACCAAATAAAAATTAAGCCATACTTAAGAATTGTATGTTGGACAATTAAAAATCAAAATAACTAAAAATTAGTCGAGATAATATTATGGCAAAAAAAAAATTATGTTAAATAAATATTAAGTCACATAAGCGATTTTATCCAATTTAAATAATAAAAAAAAATTGAATGTTAAATATAAATAAGGCCACGAATAAGAATTATGTCCGGTTTAATATAAGGCGTAATAAAAATTAAATTACACAAATATTAGGTCACATAAGAATTAGGTCAGAAAACATTTAGCCAAATAAGAATGAAATTTAATAAATAGAAGGTAAAATAAAAATTAGGTTAAATAAATATTAGGTTTCACAAGAATTAGGTCATGTAATATTTGGTCAAATAGGAACTAGGTTAAATAAATATTAAGCCAAATAAAAATTATATTCAACAAATCTTAAGCCGCAAAAGAATTAAATCAGATAATATTTGGCCAAATAAGAACTAAATTTACTAAATATTAGGTCAAATTAAAATTAGGATAATATTTCGCCATATGAATAATAGTTCCAATAATATTTAGCAAAATAATACTTATGTTTAATAAATATTAAGCCAAATAAATATTAGGATAAATACATATTAGGCTGAATAATAATTACATTGACTGAATATTTGGCCAAAAATTAGGTTAAATATTAGATCACACAAGAATTGGGTCAGGTAATATTTGTTCAAATAAGGACTAGGTTAAATAAATATTAAGCCAAATGAAAATTATATTTAACAAGTCTTAAGCCGCATAAGAATTAGATTATAAAATATTTGGCCAAATGAAAATTAATTTTAATTGGTAAATATTAGACCAAATAAAAATTAGGCTAAATATTAGGCCATTTGAATAAAAGGTCGGATAATATTTGGCCAAATAAAAATTATGTTTAATAAATATTAGGCCGCACGCGATTTAAGTTAGATAATATTAGGCCGAATAATAATAATAATTAGGTTGTACTATTATTAGGCCAAAAATTAAGTTACACATTAGATCACACTAGAATTAAGTCAGATAATAATATTTGTCCCATTAAAAATTGTGTTTAATAAATATCAGGCTAAATAACAATTACGTTTAATATTAGGCTAGCGCTAGACAAAAAATAAGGTTAAATAATATTTTTGTCATAAAATAATTAGGTTTGAGAAATATTTGGCCAAAAAAAATCAGTGAATGTAAAAATTAAGCCAGAAGAAAAGATTAAGTGAAATAAAAATTTTTGTCCCGGGAAAATTTTTGAGGACACATAATTATAATTATAACGCAAATAAATATGTATAGTCAAATAAGAATTATTGTAAAATTAAAATTTAACCAAATAAAAATTACGCTAAATAAATAATTGACCAGATAAGAATCAGACCAAATAAGAATTATATACATACCAAATAAGTTTGGTTAGGTTTTTGTAACCAAATTTTGTTTGGTTGAAAAAAAAGTCGTAGAGTTATCTCAGCCAAAAATTTGGTTAGGCCAACAAAATTATTTGGTTGAACATTTTTAAATTCCAACCAAAATTTGGTTATGACAACAAAATAATTTGGTTAACACAAGAAAATAGTTTGTTCTAAAAAACCAAATGATCGTTTATTGTCCTAACCAAAATTTGGTTACGACAACCAAATAATTTAATTCGCTCTCAGCTCGTATATAAGAGAATAATTACTTTAAATCTCTCACAAAGATGGGTAGTCCAGTGGTCAGAGCTCCCGACTCGAAGTTTAAAAACAGAGGTTCGATTCCAGGAGATGAGATTTTTCAAAGTCCACAAATATTTCAAATCGGATAAATATAAATTAAACGTTAAATTGATAATAAATAAATAATAAAATAAACAAAAAAAGATAAAATAAAAAGAAATAAGGTAGAATAAAATTTTTAATTTTACAAAAAAAAAATTTTGGTTTGATCAACCAAACATTTTTATTGACCTAATGAAAAAAAATTTGGTTGTGCTAACCAAACATTTTTGTTATGCCAATAAAAAACACTGAACAAAATTGTTTGGTTGACTCAAATAGTTTGGTTGCTTAAATACCAACAAAAAATTTTTTTTTGTCCCAACAAAATTTTGGTTACTAGATCTAAAAATTTTTCTCAGTGATATAATTAAATTTTTTTTAATAAAGAAATTTTTTTTTCACTTTAAAAAATAAAGAAAAATTCTCTTATTGTTACAATAAAAGGGATGTAATAATAATTGGAAAGGAATATGTTTACGGATTAATAAAAGAAAGGGTTTTTCTCTCAAGAAAAAAAGAAACAAGTGTCTCGGGTGTTATCTGTTGCGTATATTTTTCCTCTCCTGGGTGCAATTTTAAACATAATAACGTTAATAGCACAACAATAATCTTACAATTGCGACGACAAATAACTTAATTGTACCTCGACCTTAAAAACTAGTTTTCTCTATTATATTACAACGATTATGTACAAAATAATTGTCGCGATTCTTTCTCTTCTTTTTTTTTTTTTGAAAGTTGAATTGTTAATTTTTATTATTCTCCTCCATATATAGATTTATTTACTTTATTTTATTTTATTTATTTATTTATTTATTTATATAGAGAGGATCTACTTTCACAACAATATCGAACTTCTAGACATTTCACGTAAGCACATCTTTGTAAGGCCCTAATTTCTATTGTACTACGTTTTTTTTTTTTTTTTTTTTTTTTTTTTTTATTTTTATTTTATTCATTTGGGAAGTTTTTTCATTGACTTAATATATTTATTTATTTATATCTTAATTACGCAGTTTACACTTAATATTATAATATATTTTTTTCTATATTTTTTTTTTCAAAAATTTTTGGTTAGAACTTTTTAAGTTATATTCTAAATTACAATAATAATAATAATAATAGAGAAAAATTGGAACTTTTATAATTAATATTATTTATAATAAAGCGCTTCGATTAATTTGCCAATTTTAGGATTGAGAAATTATTTATTAATTTTTAGAAGGCACGCGCTATTTTTTTTTTGTTTTTTTTTTTTTTTTTTGAATCGTGGTTTTTGAACCAAACGAACATCAAAATAAATTTAAAGAAAAATAAATATTCATTTAAAAAAAAAAAACTTAATCGCACGGTTTTTTTTGAGTGCGTAATATAGAATAAAGAACATTTTTTTTTACTCGGTAATTTCGAGAAAGCAAATATTATTTTACTGTAATAATTTGCATGACACTAGAGTCTAATATTTTATATACGAGGCTTGTCTCGTCTATTACGAGGAAATTGTTGGAAAAAAATTTTTTTTCTATCGTATTACAATATTATACAAGTTTTTTTTTTTATTTGCACTGAATCTACAATATAATCACATTGAGAAAGTTGAAAATGTTGAATTTTAGAAAGCTTTTTTTTTCTTTATTTTTTTAGTGTAAGTTTGGGGGAAAATATATATATATATATATTTTTTTTTTGCAAATTGTTCAAAATACTTTCGAAAAACTTTATTTCGGTGCCACTTTGGCGTTCTTTTTTTCGGAGCCACTTAAGCTATTTTTCAGCACTGCGGAGAAAATTGTTCTAAATTGCTTCAGTTTATTGGAAGAGTCCCGTTAGAGTCCCGATTGGAATTTCGAAAAAAAAAATTTGTCGCATTTTTTAAAAATACTTTCAGATATTTTTGAGACACTTCGGCGTTTTTTGGATCCATTTAGGTGATTTTTTTTAGAATTGCGAAAAAATTTCTTGAAAATTGCTTCAGTTTATTGGTAGAGTCCCGTTAGAGTCCCGTTGGAATTTTTTTGGAGCCACTTTGGTGTTTTTTTGGAGCAACTTCGGCAATTCTTTAGCATTGCGAAGAAATTTCTTCAAAATCGCTTCAATGTATTTATAGAGTCCCGTTAGAGTCCCGTTAGAGTCCCGTTGGAATTTCGAAAAACATATTGCGACATTTTTGTACAAAATACTAAGGAAATTCTTAAGCTCTGTGGAAAAATGTATTCAAAAATTTCTTCAGTATATTGCCAGAGTCTCGTTAGAGTCCCCGTAGAAAATTCCAAAAACGACATTTATGGCATTTCTTCAAAATAGTTTCAAATTTTTCTGCAAACACTTCGGTATTTCTTCAGAATGTCTGAGACAACTCTTCAAATTTTGCGGAGAAATTACTTCAAAATTACTTTAGAATATCATTAGAGTCCCATGCTAGAGTCCCATCAAAATTTCTTTGAAAAAAAAAACATTGCGGCATTTCATCAAAATAATTTCACTTTTTTTGTGGAGCGGAGAAAATTCTTAAAAAATAACCTCAAATTATTTTTAGAGTCCCGTTGAAATTTGCAGAATAGCAGTTTTTTTTTAAATACTTTCGGAATTTTTTTTTTTAGATCCACTTTGACGTTTTTTTTTTAAGCCACTCAGAATAATTCTTCATTACTGCTGAGTAATTTTTTGTAAATTATTTTAGCGTATCGAGATAGAGTCCTACTAGAGTCCCGTTGAAATTTGTAGAAATAATTGCGGATTTTTTAAAAAATACTTTCGGAATTCTTTTTGGAGCCACTTTGGCGTTTTTTTTTTGAAATCATTTAGAATTTACCTTCTGCGAAGAAATTTCTTTTAAACTACTTTAGGGTATCGTTAGATTACCGTTAGAGTCCCTTTGAAATATTTTTAAAAAAAAACTTTAAGGCTATTTTTTCACAGAGACTTTGGAGACTTTTCGGCTATGCAGAGAAAATTCTTGAAAATAAATTCGAGATTTTTAGAATTTTTTGTTATCATCAGAGTTGTTTGCGTCCCAATTAGAGTCCCGTAGAAATTTCTAAAATTGTAAAAAGCGGTTTTTTTTTGCAAAATACTTTCGAAATTATTTTTTGGAACCACTTCGGTATTTTCCAGAAACAATTAGAGTTACTCTTCAGCATTGCGGAGAATTTTCTTCATAATTACTTTAGAATATTGTTAGAGTCCCGTTAAAATTCTATTGAAATTTTGAAAAAAAGAACATTGCTGCATTGCTTCAAAATACTTCCGGATATTGTCAAGAGTCCGATTGAAATTTATAAAAAGCGTTTTTTTTCAAAATACTTTCGATGTTCTTTAGAATCCTTCGGCGTTTTCTAGGAACAATTTAGGTTACTCTTCAGAATTGTTAGAGTCCCGTTAGAGTCCCATAAAAATTTCTATAAGAAAAACATTGCGGACTTTCTTCATAATACTTTCGGGATATTTTCGCAATACTTCGGCATTTTTTAACGTAAATTCATCCACTTTTCGGCATTGCATATAGATGTCTTCATTTCCGGATTTTTAGAATTGTTTCTCATCATCAGAGTCTTTATTAGAGTCCCATTACAATTTTCCTAAAAATCACAAAGTATCTGCGACATTTCTTCAAATTACGTTCCACAATTTTTGACCCCCAAACTTTTTTTTACCTCCCCTTAGAACTTGGAAAATAATATTCTAATTCCGTTATGGACTTTCCTCAATCTCCGCTACTTCCACTTTAAATTGCAATTGTTTCTCAAGAATGATTCTGACTCGCAGGAATCAAAAAATTATGACCAATAATTCCCGCAGTACCAAGAAGTGGATGATGATGATGATGATGTCCAATAATTGGATTAAGATGATGATGATGGTGATGATGATGTCCAAGCATAGTGGTTGGCATAAAAGTTGCAGGACCACCGGGAAGAACAAGTGGAGTTGGCATAATTGCCGAAGGCTTAAGCCTCTCAGTTAATGCCAACATAACTTGACAATGAAGATGTTGAATAGTTGCCAAAAGATTGAGATTCGTATCAATTAGACCAGCTGCTGGGGAAAACCTTTCATTCTCCATATTCTCAGTCTCGATAATTGTACTCGATGAAGAAACAGAAGCAGAAGATGTTGCAGCAGCAGCAGCTTTTCTCAATTCCTGAATAGCAATTTCCTCTCTCGTTGGTGTTTTCTTATTTTGTTCAGCCAAAATTCTCTGCTGATGTTTCAGGTACGTTGTTGTTATTGGTAGACTGTAATCAATTGGAGTGTTCTTTGGATCCAAACCAGGACTCCATGGAAGTGGAAGTGGATGTGATGGTTGAGGTGATGGTGTACGTCCCTCGGGTAACATTCGACGCCATTTTGATGATGCTGAACTTCGGGAACTTGCTCTATCCGATTCGGGTGTTCTTCGTGAATCGAGTAAATTTTCAGTTGTTGTTGTTGTTGTTGTTCCACTGTTGAATGTTGGCTCCTTCTTTAGTAAATTACTAATACTCAAGGGATTGTATTTATCGTCTTTAAATTTTGTTTCTTTTAATTTTTCCTCCTTTATTTTTTCATCTCTCATTAAAATTAATGAATCATCCTTGTAATCCTTGTCGTGTTTCTCCTTTGACTTCTCTTCATCCTCCTTTTGTTCCTTGATGATTACCTCTTCCTTTAGTACTAATCTCGATTCCTTTTTCTCTGTAACTTTCTCGGGAATTAGTGTTGTTGTTGGTGATGATTTTGAATGATGTTTTTGATGCCTGTAATTGAAGAGATTCTTGTTGTCTGGTGGATGACTTGCTTCGCGAATTTTGAGTGTATTTTGGTGAATTGGAGTAGAGGCTGATAGTGCAGTACCGGGAGTTGGACTCAATGGGGTTGTTGCAACTGCTGCTGTTGTTGTCATTGTTAAAGATGATGATGATGATGATGACAGTGATGTTGTGACGGTTGGAATTGACGATGTTGGAATTCCATTTGGATGTGATTGATTTGCCAAATTACTGGGACTCGGTGTTCTTGGTCGTCGTTGGCATTCTGTGCAGCCCAAGAGAAATCGAGTGACGGCCTCTCGTGGCAGAAAAGCGTAGGTTTCGGTAATCTGTAACAAAAAGCAGAGGAAAAAAAAATTATAAGAGATGTAATGTAATTTTTGTTAATGTATATATATAGGGTAGGGGGGTCGATTATGTAATTCCATTCCCATTTCCACTATTTTGTTATTCATTGCTAAAAAACTAGCCGTCTTAAAAGTGCAAAAAAACGTCTTGTTTTAAAAAACATTTGGTGTCTTAGACGCGAAAAACGTCTTAAAACAAGTCGTTTTTTTGCACTTTTAAGACGGCTCGTTTTTACAGTGTTTCCACTTCCATTTCTACTTTTTCTAATTTTGATTCTTATTTCCATTTACACTTCCACTTTTTCTAATTTTCATTCCTACTTTCATTTTCATTTCCACTTTTTCTAATTGTCATTCCCACTTCCACATCCACTTTTTCTTATTTTCATTTTTACTCCTATTTCTATTTCCACCTTTTCTAATTTTCATTCTCATTTCCATTTCCAATTCCACTTTTTTCAATTTTCACTTCTACTTCCATTAAAAAATTTTTTAAAAGTAAGGAAATAAATAATGAAAATTAGAAAAAAATTGAAGTGGAAGTAGAAGTGTGAGTAAGAATGAAAATCAGTAGAAGTGGAAACGAAAGTTGAAATGAAAATTAGAAAAAGTGGAAATGGAGTGAAAATCATAAAAAGTGGAAGTGTAAATAGAAATAAGAATAAAAATTAGGAAAAGTGGAAGTGGAAGTTGGAAGGAAAATTATAATAAGTGGAAGAGGAAATGGAAGTGGAAATAAAAAATATAAAAAAGTGGAAATGGAAGTGTTAATGAAAATGGAAATTAGAAAAAGTGGAAACGGAAATTACAATGAAAATTTGAAAACCTAAACAGGGAAATGGAAATAGGATTGGAAATTCGAAAAAGTAGAAGTAGAAGTGGAAATAAAAATGTAAAACGGAAGCTAGAAAGAAAATTAGAAAAAGCCGAAGTGGAAATGAAAATGAGAATAGATATTAGGAAAAGTGGAAAGAGATTTGGGAGTGAAAAAAAGTGGAAGTGTAAATGGAAATGAGAATAAAAAATAAGGAAAAGTGTAAGTGGAAGTTAGAAAGAAAATTAGAATAAGTGGAAATGGAAGTGGAAAAAAATTAGAAAAAGTGGAAATGGAAATGTTAATGAAAATGGAAATTAGAAAAAAGTGGAAGTGGAAACGGAAATTTAAATGAAAAAGTGGAAATGGAAATAGAAATGGAAATTCAAAAAAGTTGAAGTGGAAATGGAAATGAGAATGGAAAGTAGAAAAAGTCGAAATGCGAATGGAAATGGAATTGTAAATGAAAATAAAGAAGTGTAAGTGGAAATGGAAATGGAAGTTGAAAAGAAAATTAGAAAAAGTGGAAGTGGAAATAAAAATCAGAATAGATATTAGAATAAGTGTAAACGGATTTGGGAGTGGAAACGGAAGTGTGAATGAAAATTTGAAAAATTGTAAGTGAAAACGGATGTTGGAAGGATAATTAGAAAAAATAGGAGTGGAAATGGAGGTGGGAATGAAAATTAGAAAAAATAGAAAGGGAAATGTAATTTAGAATGAAAATTAGAAAAAGTGGAAGTGGAAATGAAAATGAAAATGGAAATTAGGAAAAATGGAAGTGAAAACGGACGTTGGAAAGATAATTAGAAAAAATAGGTGTGGAAATGGAGGTGGGAATGAAAATTAGAAAAAATAGAAAGGGAAATGTAATTTAGAATGAAAATTAGAAAAAGTGGAAGTGGAAATGAAAATGAAAATGGAAATTAGGAAAAATGGAAGTGAAAATGGAAGTTAGAATGAAAATTATAAAAATTTTATTTATTATATTTTCAATTATTAATTATTAATTTTTAAGTATTAATTATTATTAAAATTATAATTTACTTTTTGGAAAAAAATTTGTTTTCACATATATCTAACATAAAAATTCGAAAATTATAAATAATAACCAATTATATAGAAAGAAACAGACAAAGAAATATTCAAAAGATGTAAAAATTCATATTGACAATATAATCCACAATAAGGAAGAAGTATAAAGAATAAGAAAAAAAAATTCAAGAGGAAAAATTACAGATACAATAAAAATTGATTGGAATCTTTTGATGTTAAACATAATATATATATATATATATAAAAAAAGAAAGGGAAAAGTTTTTTATGAAAAAAAAAATATTTTTTTCTTGATGAAATTATAAGAAAAAAAGTCAAGAGGGTTTGTTTGGTGGTATAGAATATATAGGTGGGTAATTAATAATCTCAGGAAATAGTCAAGAGTTTAGATGATGTTATTATATTAAAGGAGAGTGTAGGAGTAATTTGATAAGATTTACTGCGGGGCTTTGAATCTACACTTGTATTGTGAGAAGGATAAGGAGGAGGATGAACAAGAAGAAGATGAAGATGAAGAATAAGAATGAGTCGAGTGGGAAGAAAACTGAGACGATGCGCGGATCTCGGTTAAACGTGACAGGGTGACAAAATTACGTTATGCTATATAGAGTCAAAACGAAGAAAAAAATTAAAAAACAAAAAAATTTTATCTTTAATTTGTTTTCCTTTTTTTTTTTATTTTTTTGTAGATATTTTAAGCATTCATTTAAAATTACTTTAATAGTTTCACTTTAAAAAAATTACTACTTAAGCTTAACCCTCAATTGGCACAATGGGTCTACTGGACCAAAAAAAATTGCCTGTTTTTACTTAAAAATTCATGAGTTATTTAAAATTTAATATTATCACTTTGAAATTTAAGGTTATATGATGTATTATTCTTTAAGGAAAAAATCACCACAACAGCAAGGACTTGCAAAAAAAGGTATTTATTTTGCAGAATAAAATGTGACTTTAGGTTAGAATAAAAAATTTTATAATTTATTAATGTTTGAAGCTAATTTATTCCTTTGTATATCGAATTAGTTGTATCAAAAAACTTGGAAAATTACTAATATGTCAAACTAATATATTAAAATAGAAAAAATATTCGAATACTTCAATTAATTTGAGCCAGAAAAAAATGCTCGGGTATACTGGACCCATGTGTGCCAGTTAAGCGGTTAAATACCCATTATTTACAGATGAATATAAATATTCTTCATCTTATTTTTCTGCTTCTTCGTATTATTATTATTATTATTATTATTATTATTATCATTATTATAATTATTATTATTCATCAAAAAAGGAATATAACACAAGTCTCGTTATAGAAAATTTTATAACAATATAATATATTTTCTTGATTCTCTCTTTGGATATACAAAAGCGATTAAAATATATATATATATATGACGCGGGGATTCCCCGCGAGTCGATGAATCGCACACTGTGTAACTTCGACTTAACGTAAAACAGTTTCACCGTCACGCGTTTCATGGTATATATATGTATATGTATATGTATATATATATATAAAATATATATAAATATATATATACATATGTATATGTATGTGTGTATACGAGTAAGCAGGCAATGCAACAAGTGTCCTGAGGTTTTGAATCACAAGCAGATCGCGGCGAGTTGGGGAGGGGGAGGAAGGTATAAGAGAAAGACAGAGAGAGAACGATATAACGCTGGATGCTGAGGAGAAAGAGGCTCATGGTCGAGAGAGAAAGAGAGAGAGAGAATGATAGAGGTAAATAGAATGGGTAAAAGGAATATATATATATATATATATATATATATATATATATATATATATATATATATATATATATATATATATATATATATATATATATATATATATATTGATATGATACCCGAGAGAGTGGTTTACGCGAATGTGCAACGGAACATGTGAGATGACGTGCGGTATCGGGTGTTCGGTCGCTTGAATGCCTCATTGCATTCCCGAGGGAAGACATCAGGAATCGGTTAATATAATGTCACGTGGTGACGCCGATATATATATATATAGTCAATAAATATTCTTTCTCTTCTTCTTATGATTCCTTCCTTCTCTGTTTGTAACTGTATGTATGTCTGTCTGTTCGTCCATCCATTCGTCTGTATCCCTCCATCTATTTTTGTTGTCTGTCCGTCTATCTGTATGTCTGTCTGTCCGTCTATCTATTTATTCATATAAATATCTCTATGTCCGTCCATCCGTCTATATATATATATATCTTCCTATATTACAAAAAGATATCGCCGCCGCCGCTGTTTCAAGAATTCTCGACCTAGGAGGGGGGGAGTCCCCCCTCCTAAATTTTGAGGTTATGTTCGTTTCAAGTCCCCTCCCCTCCTCCGCCAAAATGGCCTAATCTTTAAGGTTATGTTCGTTTCAAGACTGAATATAGCCGCAAGTCCCCTCCCCACCCCCGCCAGAAATGACCAAAATTTTGAGGTTATGTTCGTTTCAAGGCTCTGAATATAGCCGCAAGTCCCTCCTCTCATTTCCCCTTCTCCGACAAAAATGACCTAAATTTTGAGGTTATGTTTGTTTTAAGACCCTAGTAAAGCAGTAAGTCCTTCCCCCTTCCCTCATCTCTCTCTGTATTTCACGCCAAAAATGACATAAATTTTAAGGTTATGTAAATTTCAAGACTTTCAATATAGCCGCAAGTGGAGGTGGACTTCCCGCCAAAAATGACTTGAATTTAAAGGTTATGTTCGTTTCAAGACTTTTTAATAATTTATTGGTTTTTAGGCAATTTCATTGAAATTATTTTTAAAAATAATTTCTTAATGTCGATTTTAATTTATTATTCTGTCTGTCTGTCTGTTTGTCCGATATTTTTTATGTCTGTCTGTCTGTCTTTCTTTCTTTCTTTGTCTATCTATCTCGTTGACGTTAAAAAACACTTATTATTCTCTCGCACAATTTTTAAGTGTGTCACTGACGTATATGGGTGATTCTCCAGAAACGGGTCACTTTTGAATAAGGAAATTTTTTTCAAAATTATTTAAAAATACATGTTTATTGCATCCTTTGTATTAATTATGATTGGAACAAGTGATTCTAATAAATATTTGAGCTTAAAAACCGTTTTTAATGTAATTTTAACGATAAATATGTATTGTAGTACTTTCAGCGCAATAGCGTAGCAAGGGCGGCCGGGGCCCCAGGCACCATTGTTTTTGCGCAGACATGTAATTAAATTTTTAATATTTAATTTTTCGAGAACAAAACAATAATTTCTTTGCAAAAATTAATTGTTTTGTAGAAATTTATCTCGGCTTTTTTTTATAAAAATAGAGAAAAAAAATTAAGTTTCTTAAACGCAAGGGAACTGAAAAGCTGAATGACGGCCCTGTAGTTGAGTGTCGTTTCTGCTCGCGCGAAACTTGCGCATGCTCAATAAAATTTCGGGGGCCGGAGTTGAGAGAGCTGGAGTTGAGAAACAAATGAAAAACATTAATTACTTTGTTAATTAAGGACTAAATAAAAAATCCTTTAGGGATTTTATACAATTTTATTACTTTTATCGATACTATAGGTTGAAATTCAAAATTATTTTGAAAAACGATTGTTTTAAACAGGTTCGGAGTTGAGACATAATAAAAATACGCAAATTGTATTGTTTAATAATATAAATTTAAAAGTTAATTAGTTAATTAGTACCGTTGATTTTTATTCAATTGGGATTTTTACACATATTTATCAAAAAATTGCTTTAGTTACAATGAAAATAACAAGCAAAACCTCGAAAAACTAGTCAAATTCTCAACTCCGGATCCAGAAAAAAATTTACGAAGAAACATTATAAATAAACATTTTTTTATTTAAATGGACGAAAAATTAAAAACCCTTTTAGGGAATAACAGTTTTTCAGCCATACTTTAAAATGACTATAATGACAAATTTTATTTTTTTAATTTTAATGTCAAAAATCTTATTCAAAAATAGCAAAATCCATGTGTGGAACGAGCAAAAGTATATTTTTAGCATATTTCAGATGACAAATTAAATTTTGGGAAGTAAAATATCATTATATTGTTAATGAGTTTATTAAAGATCATTAAAATGAAGAAATTTAAAAAAAAATAAACCAATTCTAGATAATATTTATTAACTAATTAATCAAAGAATCAAAAGTGACCTGTTTCTGGAGAATCACCCATATATATATAGAAGCAAACATTTCGCTTGAGTATTAACATATTTTCAAGAATCAAGAAAATTAAAAAATAAATAAATAAAATTCCCCAGTCTTGTACTACAGAGCAATTAGGGAATTATATAAATATATATATATTTTTTTACCGTTCTGTACGTCCTCTTTTGACCCGCATGTTTCCCAGGACGACCTTCGAGATCAACGTGGACGGCATGAATGATGTCGAAAAAGTTTTCAACAATTGCGACCTTCTTGAAAACTCTACCAGGTGGAACTGTACCTTCGGCTCCATTCAGGGACTATAAAACAAAGAACAAAAATTGTATTTAAAATAAAGCAACAAGTTGATAAAGTTGTGGATGTAATAATAATAGTAATATTTTTTTTAAGAAATATAATAATATAATATAGTAAATAATATAATATTGTAAACAGTATAGTAAATAGCATTGAAAAGTAAATAGTATATAGTACAATAAATAATATGGTAAAAAGTATAGTATAGTACACTGAAAAAAGGGTTTGGTATTGACAACCAAACGTTTAGTTGTCGATACCAAACCTTTTTTTCAGTGTAAATGGTTTAATATAGTAAATAGTATTGTATAATAGATAGTATAGTATTATAAATAGTATGGAAAAAATTATAGTATAATAAATAGTATAGTATGTAGTATAGTATGTAGTATAGTAAGTAGTATAGTAAGTAGTATAGTAAGTAGTATAGTAAGTAGTATAGTAAGTAGTATAGTAAGTAGTATAGTAAGTAGTATAGTAAGTAGTATAGTAAGTAGTATAGTAAGTAGTATAGTAAGTAGTATAGTAAGTAGTATAGTAAGTAGTATAGTAAGTAGTATAGTAAGTAGTATAGTAAGTAGTATAGTAAATAGCATAGTAAAATAAATAGTATAGTATAATAAATAGTATGGTAAAAAGTATAGTAAGTAGTATAGTAAGTAGTATAGTAAGTAGTATAGTAAGTAGTATAGTAAATAGCATAGTAAAATAAATAGTATAGTATAATAAATAGTATGGTAAAAAGTATAGTATAGTAAATAGTATATTTAGTAGTATAGTAAATAGTATAGGATAGAACACTGAAAAAAAATTTATTTGTTTCAAATAAATTTTATTTTGGTGTATAATATAATATTCTATAATAATAAAATACTATAATACAATATAATAATAAAATAATAGTACTTTAACAAATAAATACATTTAAAATATTCGAGGATTTATAATATATTATAAAATCCCGAAGACAAAATAAATAAACATTATAATTTCCCTAATTCAAATTAAAATGAAATTATGAGAAAATTTATTCTAAAATTCAATAACACAAATTACTGAATTAGATTATTCACTTGGTTCGCCATCTATCGGAGGGTAGTTGAATCACAATATATTATTCTCAACCCCTCACAAGTTTTAGTAGACATCTCTCCTTCGCGTTCAAACAGGGATTTACCATAACAGAGAGAATGAATTTCTACCGTACCGACGTCTGATTATTTTCTATACATTCACTCACCGTATGTCGGTAAGGTAGATTTACCTTTTAAATCTTTCAAAATAAATTTTATTTTTATTTTCCAAAAAAAAATTGTTGTATATTATTTTTTAACCTCAAAAAAAAAATATTTATAGTGAAGATTTTGGTTTTAATTTTAAATTAGTAGTGTTCATGGTTTAGAGAGAGATGCTCTTTCGATTATTTTATCAGGGGATAGTTTACGAGGTACTATATAGAGAGTGAGAGAGAGAGACAAAAGTTCTAGGCGCGTGCGCATCATTATTGTATTTTCCCCGTATAAACACCTGTTGAAGGATCAAGTCAAACTCGAGAGTCGCGTGGGGTTTATTTCTCCAAGACTATATTTATATATGTATAGTATATGAATGTGGTCAACCGGAATAATTAGAAATTCGTAAAGGGTCACACTTTGGTCTCAATTTCTGTATAAACATAAATACCAAAACTGTCACTGTGAGAATTACGTTCTACAAAAGCGTAATTTTTTCTAATTTTTTTTTTGGACGCATGATTATATGTTCTAAAAATCATTAATTGGAATTTTCATTTTATGCAATTTCATTTGTCATTTTTATTTGTTTGAATTAGTATTTTGCAGAATTTTCATCAAAACGATTTTCAATATTACAGAATTTTTCTATAACCGAAAATTCACTACACAGAATTCTTATTTGTTCGAATTTTTAATTCCTCGAATTTTCATTTAACATAATAGGGCATTTTAAAGAATTTTCAATTGGGTAGAATTTCATTGCATAGAATTTTTATTTTATTCTTTCAGATGAAATTTTCATTTGTTCGAATTATTATATTTAATATAATTTCCATAAAACCGATTTTTCTGCAGAATCTTTACTTAACCGAAAAATCATTTAACAGGAATTTCTAATTAATAGAATTATCATTTGTCCGAAATTGCAAATGTCCGAAGAAACAATCGATTTTGGCGCGATTTTTAAAATCAACCAATCAAAAATTATCCATAAAATTATGTGATTGGTTGATTTTAATAATCGCGCCGAAATCGATTGTTTGTTCGGCCATTTGCAATTTCGAATAAAAGAAAATTCTATCAATTAGAAATTCTGTTAAATGATTTTTCGGTTAAATAAAAATTCTGTAGTATATGAAAAATCGGTTAATATGCGGAAATTATTTCAAATAATAATTTGGACAAATGAAAATTCATCTGAAAGAATAAAATGAAAAATCTATATAATGCATAATGAAATTCTACTTTTGGTAAATCCGACTTTTAGCAAAAATCAAACTATTTGTAATCCCGATTTTTTGAAATTCAAAAGTTTGATAATTTGAATTTTTGGAAATCCTAAATTTTGAAATTTCTAAAGTTTGATAATTCCAATTTTTTCACAATCTAAACTTTTGGTATATATAATTCCGACTTTTGGTATAATTTAAAATCATTGAAAATTCTAAATTTTTGAAAATTTATTGATATTTCAGATTTTCGAACTTTTACTTTCGAATTCTAAATTTGCTAATTTAAACTTTTATCAATCTAAACTTTTGATAATTTCGAACTATTGAAAATTCTAAATTTTGTGTATAATTTTAAATTAATATAATTCAAAATTTGGAGCCAGTCAAGTATTACGTATAAGCATATTTTCAAGGGTTTTGAACCACCCCTCCACCCCTAAATAAGCGCATATTCTAATGGAAAAAATAAGCATTTTGTATATGCTGGTATAACAAATCGAAACTTTTCAATTTCAACTTTTGAAAATTCGAAATTCTGCTAATATTCTATATATATATATATATATATAACTTTTAGTAATCCCAACTTTCGAAATTTAAAATTTTTTATAATTCAAACTTTCGATAATTGTAATTTTTGGTAATTCAAGTATTTAACAATCCGAACTTTTGAAATTAGAATTTTTGATCATTTAAAAATTTTAATAGTTAGAACTTTTTAAAATTTGATATTTTAAAAATTTTGAATTATTATTTGCTCTTTTTGAGGTATATTTCTAAGTCAACGATTTTTTATGTTTAAAAACCAAAAAAAAAAAATTTTTTTGAGAGGTGGGGGTACGGTACATTTTGATCACTCTCTATAACATTTTCTGGACATTTATATATATATATATATATATATAACGATATATTCCATCGTACGCGTATCATATCTCCAATTGTTCGTACAAATCCGTTATAGATTCTCTATATATATATGTTCCGTATACAGCAAAGTCCGACTAGATACGAAGTCGGATATGAACGGTATACGATATATGAAAATTGATTTCTAGATTGTAGATATATATGCTGTAATCTCCGATTATATAGCTTTCAAAGAAATTGATCCAAAATAATGTTTTGGTTTCAGAACATAATAATCCGAACACTGATTATATTGTTTTCAACATCATTATATTAAGAATACACTGTTCTAAGAGGGAGAGAGGGGTTCCTTCTCAGTAGCTTATAAAAATTCGAAAGTTCGGATGACTATAAAAAATGGAATTACCAAAAAGTTCGAATTCCCAAAAGTTTAAATTATATCTTGCTAAAATTTAGAATTTCTAAAATTTTAAACTATACGAAAAGTTCGAATGTCCATAAAATATAGAAGTTAGAATTCTTATATATTATATATATGGATTGCTGAAGATTATTGAAATTATATGATTTGGCCAACAAAATTTTTTTGTTAAATCAAAATATTTGTTTTGAGTCAACCAACACAGTAAAAACAAAGTCTTAAACCGTTTACACCTTAAATTAAGCCCATATATTTTGCATAAGTCTGTCCTTTTTTAATTGGTCTGACTCCGTTTACACCTTAAATTCAGCCTCAAAAATAGGCTGAAATCAAGATTTCTTTTTTAGTGTGAAGAAATTTGGTTGAGTGTTTTTTGTTGGCATAACCAAATGAGATAACTTTATACGACTTTGTTTCAGCCAATCAAAATTTGGTTATACAAGAACCAAAATTGCCTAACCAAATGTTTTTTGTTGTAAACACAAAATCTTTTTTGTGAAACAAAAAATAAGGATTTACTGTATATATATAATTTAAATATAAGTGTGACATCATCGGTCAAGTTCCAAATGACGTAAAAGTTTCTTTTTTTCTCACCCGCCTAAACTTGCTACTTTGTAAATTGCACAAGATGAGAGATATACATATACATATATACTTTGAAAGTGCATATAATTTGTCTCGTAACCATAACAGCCGTAGGCGGACGCACCTACTAGAGGCAATATATGCAAGAGAGAGAGAGAGATAGCCATTGCTATTTCTTTGACGCCACCGACACAGCGAGAGTGATAACCCACTGGCGCATACGCGAATAATGTGCCCGCACACGTGTATGCATATCCATTATCCGGGGGTCCAAGCGCACGTGTGTGTTTCATAGTATAAATGGACTATATGTATATATATATGTACGTATATGTAGGTAGGCATTATGTATGGAGATATATGTACGTACGTATATATCTATATGTATATGTGTGTAAGTGCTGGAGCAGGGTGCGTTTCACAGCTGAATGCACGAGGCGTGTGTTCGGCATCCTGTCGCCCACCGGCCTCCCGCGTCACGCAATGTGTTTCCTTCTATGTATATATATATGTATATATATACGTTACGTGCGAGCGTTACGAGTATATATAGTACGACGACTCCACAAAATCAGAACCGCACTCTTCCACTATACAACAGGATATCACACAATTCACGAAAATTACTTTTTATCAAAAAGGAAGATCACATCGAG